CACATCTAGTCTGCCGAGGTCGGTGCGTTCAAAATACATATATAATAAACTCTGTCTTTGGCCAGCCCCCCCCAAAAGCCCCACTTGGGATTTGAGCCAACGGTTCTAAGAACCTGGAATAGGTATTTGGGCCTCCGAAAACTTGCGAAAAGTGGATTGACTGGAGGAAGCTGGCAGTTTGGATGGATGCAAATCCAGCTGCAACTGGGGCTTCGGTGGTCTCCTCGCCTTGAGAGAAGAGTGAATGGAATAGAACATATTGATCCTATAGGCTATAGGTCCAATTAACTCCAGAGATCTTTGACCGGTTGATGGAAGCACTATCCTCTTTCTTCAGGGGTCGACCCCTGAAGCATGAGAGCACCCTTCAATCCCCACCTCCGGCGGCTGCGACTCCTTTGGGAGGTGAAGATATCTCTGCTGGTGAGATCTAGACCGCCCTGCCGGAGAGGGCCGCTGTCCACGGTGGACATGCGCCAGAGAGTGTGCTGGTGTGTTCCGGAGCAAGGAAGGACATGTGTGGTGAACATATGGCAATTGCTAAACTGTGCAAAGAAGGCCTGCGAGATTCAAGATTCGATGGACCTCAAATAACCCAACATCGGCACAACTTTCTGTGAATCTGGATGCACACCCGAAGAATATCACCGGCAATATCGAATCCCTGACGGCGAGAGCCCAGTCGTCGACTAACGCCTTCAGAGTTGTTAGTAGAATCCAACATGATAACTAGCCTTGCGCACGATCTCTGGTACTGCCACAATTAATTATATATCAAACAAGAACACTTGAACACCCACACGGTCTCCCCCAACACATACACACACACACACACAACGCGCGAACTGAACTGCGCGCACCGAAACCAAAAAACCAGCACCCCACTACCACCACCACCGACCCCGCCCCCGCCACCCCCCCACCACCAAAGATCCGCAAAACCAACAAATGCACCTTGAAATCCACACCGACCCAAATGACAACCCCTTCATCACAGCCGGCAGCCCGAAGCTTCAAACGGCCGCCCAGAAGCCGGAAAGAAGCTTCGGCTCATGGAACAACGGAACGCCGTGGAACGCCGACGCGGGAGGTTCCGGAACTCTTTGACCCTTGGTATATCAAAGAAGGGCCAGCAGAGGAAGCAACAGGTACCTACCAGCGGTTTTGGGCGACCTCAACGACGACGCCAAGGACGAGGTCAACTTTGTTTTGCTCTTTTCAACCTTCTGTTATTTGAGTTTCCAGTTGAGCGTGTGTGGATTGACATCTGTTTGTTTTTTTGTTCTCTTTTTGGTGTTTTGAATTGTTCGTCTCGAACCTCTTCTGTGCGTAGGTCAGATTTCAACTATGCAGATCTCTTGCAACAGCTGACACCCCACCCCATCTTCTCGATTTGGCCGACCACCCCGACCACCGCGGGCGGGCGCGGTGGGCACCTCGCTCCTTCCACCTCCTTTGCCTCCGGACTTGCCCTCCGGAGGCGGCGGCCGCCCAGAGTTCTTCCACCTCGCTCCGGGCCGTGAAGCACGACGAGCGAGGTGGAAACAAAGAAGACATGGGGAGGGTAGGACAGGAGTAGATGGAGACATGTGTGTGTAGCTTCTTTGGGGAAGGTCGAAACTTGGGAGTTGGAGTTGACTGCGAAGTAGATGATTGGTATTATGTTGTTGTATCAGACATAGAGTTGCACAAATCTCCAAAGTGGGGGCAAAAACAACTTGTGGAACTGATACCAGTGCTCCAGAAGATTGGAAGTGTCGGCTCCTGGTACACCTCCACTGCCGACTCGAGTGAGACCGAAGAGTCAGAGAGCCACCGGTCTGAGCTGGCGACTCTCCTTTCAGGATCATCCCGTCAAGCCACACCTGGAAGACTCACCAAGAACCCACGAAGTTGGTTGCTTGGAAGGTGGAGGTCTCCTTTCTTTAGACGTCTGCCTGCAAATCGTCCTTTTTCACGCACCGAAAAATCCTGGAAATGGCCATAGCATCCACTGAACCATCGTCTTTACCTATAAAAAATATCGACTCGAATAGCCACCCACTTGTGCATGAACAGGAATTGGATGAGTTCGGCTCGCGTTTTCAAAAGAGAAACGAGAAAGTTCGACATCTTCTCCACCGGCCCTCCCTCGCCTCTCCTTTCTTTAGGGCATCTAAGGCTGTTTGGGCAAACTCCTGAATCGTGACGATGAAGATGAAACATGTGCTGGTAAGTTCAAGAAACATCAAGGCCTCATCAAAACCCATCAGACAGAGTAAAAATAGAGAGCCCATGGTTTCAGTAAAGTATTGTCTTAGAGTCTTATACACTAATATGTGTCTCTAAATGGGTCAACTGAAGCGTTTCAGGCATGCCCGGGTGAAAACAAAATCCAGGAGGTGCACCAATTTGCCTGGTTGTTCTGTCACGAGCTGTTTCACTGCAGTGGTCTTGTAGGCAGAATAAACGCCGTCTATCCAACTCCAAAACCGGAGGAAGGTGACATAATTGGGAGATCCAAGAAAAAGCATGCTTTTGGCATCAATGGTTTGAACCAGATAGGCAACACAGGTCGTGTGAGGTAACTCGCTGTTGTCGCCATCTCCACTGGAACAATAAGCAGCTCTGTGTTGGAAAAAGATGCCCTGCCAAAGGAAAGTTGGAAGCAATATATACTGCGATCCAGGGAGATGTTGTATTTGATCGTATTGGTACGGTGACTGCCTACTAAGATGTGAGTAGGCCGAGTAGCTTCACCGGATGAAGACTCTTTCAGAACTGTCGCGAACCGGAAAACACGCATACCTTCATGCCTTTTATACCTTAAAAAAAGGGGCCTGAAGGGTCGCTAGGTGGAGGTGGCGCACCACACATGATCTCATGACGCGTCCCAAACGCTTCCAACATGCACAGGTCGTCCGTCAGGTCGTCCTGAGTCTTGTAGCGCACGATGGGGTTATCAACACCCCGCGCTCCCATATGGCAGCCGACGACCTGCGCAGTCACCAGCCGGTCCGCGACCCGGGACCGCATGGAGCGGTCGACCTGCCAATGGATCTATGACCGGCCAATGGATCTAATCACGAAAAAGACGTAACAGGGTGTCCTCTTCTATCTCCCATTCTATCACCACTTTTGGACAGGTCGCCAAAAGTGGGACATGCAGGTCAGGCGGGGGGGAGCTTAAGTTTTTAGCCAATTCCTTCCTGTGGTTTTCTTCTCTAGTTTCCACGATTCTGTGCGGGGAGCCAGCTGCCAAATGGGTAAGGGACTTTTTTGCGTTCGCGCTCTGCACTTGAAGTACACTCGAATTAGTAGCTCAACTCCACCCTGCTTCATTTTGATTCGTTGCTTCCTTTTGTTTTGCAAGCCTGCTAAGACACAGCCCGTTCACTTGCCCCAAATAAAGACCTCGAAAGCCTGACAAACACCATCAAGCACTCCAATCCCAGAGTGGGAAGAGGCACCACAGCACCCACCCACCTCCTCCGGGACCGGTTCCGCTCCCGGATCGCTCCCTTTCGGGACCGGTTCTGCGCGGAGACCCGCGGAGACCCACCGGAACCCACGTCCTCCGTCCGGAGTGCGGAACGGGACGCGTCCCGCACCTCGCCGAACTGCTCCATGGCCTTCTTGAGGCTCAAGCGACTCGAAGAGTCGGAAATGCCTTCGAAGGGGCGCGGCCGGCGCGCGGCGCATGCGCCCGGCGCGGCCATGGCGCATGGCGCACATCCAATTGGTGCGGTCGCACAGCTGAAGAGGTGGAGTTGGGGTTCCACAAAAAGATGAGTTCCCAAGACTCCCTACTTTCAGAAAGGATCTGCCAATTCGTTGTCTTCACTGCAGCGCCCCCGGACATAGTCTCGATCGCCAGGGGAAAAGAGGAAGAAGACGACGATGCGTCGGTGTTTGGTGGTTTGAGAAAAGCCAAATCAACCGTTCGATGTTGCTGGAGAACCTGGTGGAGCTCCACGATGCCTCAACAACCCCATACGTTCCTGATTCAAAAACCACCGGACCAAGCACGTGAAAGCGGAAGCCATCGAAAGCAGAAAAAGAACTTGGTGAGTTGCAAATGTTGGCTCTTCCAAAACCTTTCTGGGTCGCCATGAACGCTGCGAGCTTCACGTCCCCTGATCGCCGAGCGTCCACTGATCTCGATCGCCGCGCTCATCGTCCACCGCGGTGCCTGGACTGGACCGCTGCGAAGGGCGCGCGGTCCACGCCGAGGCGGGGAGGCCCAGAGTGGTTTGGAGCCATATTAATATGGTATTGGAAGAAAACACCCCCCTAAAAAAGTAAGTTATTAACAGCCCCCTTAATAAGTTATCAGTAAGTTTTAAAAAAAGATTCAAAAAAAAGAACAGGCCGTTGTAAATGGATTTCAATTAGCTATTTCGGCCATGGACCGCGCCCACATCTGCACGCTGTGCGCGTGTGCGGCATCAGTTCGTCAAACAAGTTGTTCCGCATTCTGGTCCTCTACTGACGAGTCCACCTCACTGGCATTTTTGGAGACAAACAACCTTTCGAGCGCCGGAGGAAGTTCCCATCGAGCGCCTTACGTCCTCCCCTGGCGCCGAAAGACGCGACACCGCTGCGGGACGCCGGACGAAGCCCGCCGTGCGCCCCGCAGCCCGAGCCCCCACAGCTGCGGGAACGTTCATGTAGGGTATTACTTGGGATGTCCCATCTCAACCAGTTACAAGGTGGGGAGTGGAGGTTAACTGAGCCCAACATGCAGTGCCACCATGTACCGCCCAAACACAGAAAGGGATGGAACGGAAGATGAATACTGTAGTCTTCTTTTTGAGCTTCACCGATCTTGGACAAGCCTTCAGATTGGATCAGACCTTTTTCAAAGACTTGGCACGCCCAAACATCTCCTCCAGATCAGTAGAAGCTTAGCAACCGGCACCTTTACAAACACTCAGCGCGGACCTCTTCGGCCCGCGCGGACCGCGGATCGGCGTCCTTTTCGTTCGATGCCTTTTCGCTGCGTCGAACACCGGTGCGGCTCAGGCGAGGTTCTCGAGGGGCCTTCGGTGTTGGGTCGATTTCGGTGGAAACCCATCATGCAGGAGTAGCAGGGGTAGCACAGATCCTCCTTCTTGGGCGTTCTTTTGATTCCAAAGATGTGTTTCTTGTGATCTCTCAAGCTCCATAGAATTTTGCGAAAAGGGCTCCATTGAAGCCAAGAAAGACGTGCGAAAAAAACACAGAGTATCTCCTCCATGTGCCCTGACACCCTCAGTCCCTTGAGTTGTCTAGCGAGTGTGGACAAGCTTTGCTATCGGGTGGTCGGCTGGATGGAGATTCCCACTTCAAAAGAATGACACCAGCGGTATTGCAAGTTCATCCCTCCAACCAAGTTCTCGATCACACTTTTTCAGTCTCTCAGTCTTGAGTGAAGCCAACTGGAATTCAACCGTCTGGGAACTCCGAAGACCATCACCGACAGCCATCCCCTCTTGCTTTTGCGGGCATCGGACCGTGTCATACCGCCCGAGCGCTCGCGCCTGGGTGAGCCCTCTGGCGCCTTGGATCGTTACCGTGGGAGGGGGGTCGAGAAGGTCGAGAGAATGGATCTGGGACCCTTTGGACGGCCAGCGACGAAATTGGGGGAACACGCGAAGACAGACAGACTCAATCCTGGAACCTCAAACGGCCATTGAAACATCCATTTCTTTCTGGTTGCGACTGGGGAAAGCCAAGATGAGATTCATCTCCTGCGCTCCATGCCAAACGAGGCGGTTCCTTTCTTCAGATCAGAGTCTCCCTCCCGCTGACCTTGCCTTCGGCTTCGCTCGCGCTGACCCAGGCTGTTCGCTCCCTTCGGGGCCGCCTCCCCCCCCCCGCACCGCTCCACCACCGCGCCGGGCTGCGTTCACTCCGCTAAACACCAGCGGCGTGGCAGCCGTAGGAACACCTGGCGCGCCACGAAGCGACTCGCTCGACCCCAGAGGTTGCCGCGCGAAAACGACCCCGCGACAACCGGGTCGTTCGGCTGGAACTGGGCACGTTCGGCTGGCGGAAAGATGAGAAGACGAGGTTCCTGCTGCTTCCCGGTTTGAACCGAAATGAACATGAAATATCTCCATTGGTGAACTGTCCAGGACTCGGTTCGGTTCATGTTTGCACAGACACCGTGTGGGGGGTATCGACCAATGAGTTTGTGAGCCTTGTGGCTTGCAAGTCTGAGCTGACAAGGACCTTCCATGGCCAACACAATGCGAATCTTTAGGTTCTGTTTGCCAGGCTGGGACAGAAGAATCAGGGGCGAGCACGCAGCGTTTTCCTGTAAAATGCTGCACGGCCTCCTGAGCAGGTCGTGGTGCAATCTACCAGAAATACCTTGCAAACCAAGCACAAATCCGGTGCCCGAAGATAGATTGTCCAGCCTGAGCCAACTTGCCTCAGGATGATGTGGCTGTGGCTCAAAACTGGAGTACCATTCAGACTGGTAGAAAATGTAAAGTAAAACAAATATAAGTAGGCCAAAAGCTGCAGGTCTCTGGGTTTTCTTGTTTGCCCCACATGTAATGTATATGTGGGCGCGGCCAAAGTCATGTGGTTCCGGGTCACAAGCCTGGTGGGCTACTCCTACTGATCTTTGGGTCTCTGCAGCCAAACTGCACAAAAGTTCCGGTGTTTCACGTGGTCAAAAGTGATTCCTTGCAGACTTACAAATGTAAAGCTTCATCTGCAGGGAATAAATCGCCCCCTTTCCCATGTCAATGGCCTCCACCCTAAGAGCGATGGCCTCCAACCTTCGGTATGAAAACAAGGAGCCCCGTTCGTAGTGTCCGATCGCTCCGTTCGGTCCGTTCGAGGCCCTTCGTTCCGTTCGTCGCTTCGTTCCGTTCGGAGCCCCCGGTTCGTCGACTTGCAGACGTCTGGAGACTCCACGACTCCGATCCGGCCGAGAAGACGGTGCCCCGCCGGACGGGACTGGGATCCGTTCCACGAGGTTTGGTACCGAAGACCGGACGTAAGGACGTGTCGTCGTCGATCCGTCGATCTTGACCAGCACCGCAGGATATCGCGTAGACCGGACGGGACGCAACGCCCCAACGCTCCGCTAAGCTTCCAAACTGCTGGAAGATGCCGGTCGGGCCCTCCTGACGAAGCGGAAGAGATGTGAGACACCGGGGATTGGCCGTCTTGCAACAGGAAGAGGCTACCACAGTAGATGATCTGAAAGACTATAGAGACACATATATATATATATATATTTGTGGCGGAGCCACTCACAAAGTGCTCAGATTCTTTTTCAAGAACAAACGTCAAAAGTGCTCAGCAGCTGAACCAGGTCCAGCTGAACTGGTGGAAACCAGGTCTCTGCGGGGCCTCTGATTCGGATTCTGCACACCGTTCATTCGACTACCGGATGTGTCGCCGTTCTCAACAACATGACACTACGACGAACACATCACATGGAAGTGGAAAACAGCCTGTTTGTAGAGGAAAGTAGCCTTCTAGAAACTCCCAGTTTCCACTGACTTCCATGTCGATGTGTTCGTAGTGTCGACCCCGTCCACACCGTGAGTGTCGTCGCGCCTTTGAAAGCAGAAGATATCGTGGATCATCACTGAAGTCCAACAAGAGGCGCCTGGTCGATGGAGCGAGCAAGATGGGCCCTGCTAGGCCCTACACCGAGCAAAAAGCTGGTTTAGCTAGTTTACACAAAATGTTACGCAGAATAAACTGTCCTTTGGTGCTTCGTAGCTCTCCAGTCTCGCCCAGTTGAGATACACTTATTATGTAATCACACATGTTCATTCAACGTGTGCACCACCTCAAAGCCTGAGCTCTTTGTTGGGGCCGAGGCGTCTCGTCACACGAGTATCCAGCGGCAAAGCGAAGCTGTTGCTTTGAGGGTCGCGTGATGGGTCAAAAGGTGGTCGTCCCCAATACCGCCATGGTGGTCGGTTCTGGAAATGGCTGTCTCTCCCATGGTCGATGCCCTGTATTCTTGTTTCTTGTCACTACCTCCCTGTATCAGGATTGGGTAATTTGGGCACCTGCTGCAGTTGCTTTTCTGTGCTTGCTGTTTGAGCCACCCGTCGTTGCTGGCTGCTGCTGGCTGCTGCCTCCCACCCCAGCAATACGATCTCAGCAAATTCGTAGACCCCAATGAAGGCTCTTGAAACTGCATCATCCTGCAGATTCCATCAACTGGTAGTCATCCCTTTGGGATCCCGACTGAGTGGCAAAGAAGAACTGTGAGAAGAACGCTAGGCACGCGAAGGACAGTACATAGAAGAAGCTCCTCTCCTCCACGGATGCGGCTTCGGATGCTTTGGGTCAAAACCTGTCGATCTTCCACGGTGGAGTCTTTGATGACCATTCTTGGAACTGGAGCCGTAAACTTCCAGTTCCTTCACCACACCACCAGTGCAGATGGAACACCCTTTTCTTCCGGACGAAGAATTGAAAGCTGGGCACGCCACCCTGCCACCCTGACTACCCCACCACACAGTTGGACCACAATTTGGCGATGAGCAGGTTGTCTTTCCCCGAACATGTTTGTTCTTCAAATCTCCCAAGTCCAAACATGACAACATCAAGCACAGGACCACTTTCATCAGAACACGACCTGTTCCCCAAATAGTCAGACTTTGTGTGTGTGGCTCATGGCTCATGGACAGGCCCACGGAGCCCAGCGGGGGGGCCCATCAAAGCAGTGTGCCTGCGGGCCCTTGTAGACTCAACTGATGAGTTTTATCGATCAGGAGTCGACATGACGGTCTGAAAAGTCCTGCAAAACCTGCTCAACAACAACATCTCACCCCTTTCAAGAGCTCAGTTTTCCGAATCGGCTCCCCACCGGTACCGGTCTCCCGAACCTTTCTCATGCCCCCCAGTGACAAACGGGTTTTCTATCCTCGTCACACTGGCCTTCGGCCGCGATCTTCAGAACCGCCTAACAGCAGTCGTGGGCTTGTTTCAAGCAGCTGAAGGCGGATTCCTCTGCGAGCGGACGATACATCATCTAGTTAATCTAGTTGAATAATATATCGATCAGTGGACTGCTGCCACGTAAAGAATTTGCCCACCGCGAAATAGAACGATCAGCATACACTCGAAGTCTGGAATATTCTATGTGGATGTGTGGATATTCTATCTGAGCATCGACGGACAAATGGACAAGCGACCTGGGGACACATGGACCTATATAAACGGAAATCCTCATATTCTAAGTGCCGGCCGATTACTATAGATCAGGAAAAAAGAAATAGGATAGCCTGCTTCTTCTCCTGGTCAGGTGCCTCAGGCGGTCCGTTGCCAAAAAAGGCCATCTAACATCTAGTTGACATAGATGTGTAGACTAAGGACACATAATAGAACAAGGAATCGCGCGGTTCAGGATCAGGTGCTTCGGGGGGTGTCAGACTGCACGGATCTCGTGTTTGACTGCACCAGTCCTGGGAGCTCCAGAGCTGTTGATTCTCCAAAGTCCACACCACACCCCAGAGGCACTGCAAATGGGATGTGCAGTCGGACAACACCTTTGAAAAAAAGGACGGACCATCGGACAGGGGCCAATCTTCGATGACAAAAAGAACATTAAAGAATAAATAAAACACCCCAACCCGGGACACGAGCAGGTGGTAGGGGACATGCTGAACGCGTTCCTCCTCCTTACGCCGCGCCGCCGTGCCGCCGGCAGTCGGAGACTCGAGAGCCCACTGCCTGGTGAGCACCGAAGCGCTCCACGAAGGCATTGGGGTCATCTCGTCCCAGCCTGGGCGGGGTGACGTGGGCAGCGCGCGAAGGCGGAATCGGGAGGCTTTGGAGGCTTTTTCCCCAGATAGCGAAGCTATGGGGTTCTTGCTTCAAATTGCAATGAGTTGCCCGTGCGCGCTTTCGAGACAGGTTGTTGGTGCTGGTGCTGGGTGCCGGTGCTGGCGCTGGTGCTGTGAGCTGGCTGTGCACGTGGTGGGGACAGGTTGCTGGCGCCGGTGCTGGTGCTGGGTGCCGAGTGCCGGTGCTGGTGCTGTGAGCTGGCTGTGCACGTGGTGGAGACAGGTTGCGTGCTGGTGCTGGGTGCTGGGCGCCGGTGCTGGTGCTGGTGCTATGAGCTGGCTGTGCGCGTGGTGGAGACAGGTTGCTGGTGCTGGTGCTGGTGCCGGGCGCCGGTGGTGCTGGGTGCCAGGCGGGCGGTGGTGATGGGCGGTGGGCGCCGGTGCTGGTGCTGTGAGCTGGCTGTGCACGTGTATTGACACTCTTCAAGTTCTGTTTTGGCCCACAGCTGTGTCAAGGGCTGTACTGTTTGCGCGCATACTTTTGTGCGTATAATGTTTTATGCGCAACGTCAGGCTCTCAACCGACCATTGACCATTGTTTCAGCATGTTTCAGCGTGCTACACACACAATAGTCGTGCTGGATACTGCTTGGCCTTGGGCGAGTGAAGCCTACGGGCTTTGCCGTTTGTGCGCATACTTTTGCGCGCATAAACTTACACGCGCAAGATCATACGGCCTCATCGTTCTACAGATCGTTGCTTCAATCATGCTACAAGGTCACTAGTGGCGCTGGATACTGCTTGGCCTTGGCCAATGACACTTACGGGCTTTGCTGTTTGCGCGCATACTTGTGTGTGCATCAACTTACACGCGCAAGATCATACGTTGTTATTCCCCCAATAGGGATAGCTATGGCGTTCTTGCTGCAAATAAGAATGAGCTGGCTGCGCGCGCTTTTGAAAGGGTGTCGGTGCTGGTGCTGTGAGCTGGCTGAGCGCGCGTTTAAGACGGGCGGCGGCGCTGGTCGGGTGCTGGCGCCGCTGCCGGTGTTGTCAGCTGGCAAGGCGCGCCGGCGCTGGTGTCAGCTGGTTGTGCGCGCTGTGGAGGTGCCGTAAGCTGGCTGTGCAGGCTGCGTACATTCTTGTTCCAGCCAGTCGCGTGTCAACAGGTCGTGGGATTCTGCCTAGCTATCTGGGTCTATGCTGGTGTAATTTGGGAGATGAAAGGAAAGCCCAAATCCGAGGTGGAGAGCAAAGTAGAAGAAAGTAGAGCTTCCAAGATAAAATCACGACTTCTATGATTCTATGCTTCTTCGTGCTCGTTCTTCGTGCACAATGCAAAACCACCGACAACCGACGTCTCTCCGAGCCGCAGAGCGAAGCAAAAGTAGGTCGACGGACTCGAGCGTTGACAAAAGCTGCTTGTGATGCAACGGCAAATCATATGCATCATTTGCATCACCTAGTTACCTCTGCACCGCAGAGGTTTGGTGCAGCTCACAACTAGAGTGAATGAATATCAATAAATGATTGTTGATTCTTGCCCCAAAAAAAATCAACAATCTATCAGATCGGGGCGTTTTGCTTTCCAGTACGTGCGTGATCCCCTTTCCAACAAATGCCAAGCTGCTCGCAGTTGAGTAGCAACGGAACCTGGGATGAAGTGCTGCTTGGAAGATGGATTTGCATGGAAAATCGTCCACACACCATGGCTGTTGCCCGACCCCTTCACCGAACCCTTCGATGAAAAACGCTCTTCACCGTGATGATGGTTGACACCCAGAACCATTTTCCGGTCATTCCACTCTTCCAAGAACTGGCCAAGGCGCATCCAAGAAGTACATGAGGAACCAGCACATCAACCTCAAGGCCTCCAGTCGAGGTTGGATTTGGAAAGGCCAAGAACCGAGTGGCCTGGAACAGGGGATCTTTCTGGTCCGGGAAACCTCGAATGAAATGAAACGACCGACCTGGCGGTCGTGGTGATGATTGGACGACACCGTTGGTGTAAGGCACATCTTTGGCGTTAGGCGACTCCCTTTGTGGAGTCTTGCTCTGGCAGTCTATCTGAGAATATCTAAGAATATCTGGATGTCTTGCTGGAAGGTCAAGGGACTTCCACCGCCAAAAAGACAGATTCGCAGTCCAGAAGAGAAAACAAAAACGGGTATGCCTGGTCTTGTCTTCGGTGGTAATCCAACATGATGGTAAGGACCAACTCTTGGACCAACTACTGGCGTTTCGAACGGAAGGCGGGTCGTCAATCACCTGATTTCGCTGCTTTCAATGATGTGATCAATCACTTGAAACCAAGTCATTGAAAGTCTCAGGACTCCTGACACCTGCTCTTTCTTTCTCACAACTTGAGTTGGTCCGACTTTCCTCTTGAAAGTTACTTGCGGAACTTGCCAGCCTTGCGTGAACCTCCGAGCAAAAAGAAGTGTCGATGTGACAAATCACCGCACCTCATAGTAGTAGAAGGTCCGCAAGAAGCCTTCCTGTGCTATCGGGAGTGAAATGCAACGCAGTCAGATGCAGGCAAACTGGCTAGAGTTGCATGAATCGATCGAAATCTCTCGCCATCTTGGTTGAGTTGTCCTTCCACTGTGCAACAACGCCTCGTTTGAGTGGCTTTGTTGGGCCACATGTTGCTGAGATGGCATTCCGATCCTGCGTATCCTTCCATCCTCGAACACCGGGACCTTCTTTCCATCAAGCAACATCCATCCCACGTTTTGATGCCCGCCAGCGTACACCCCGAGAAAAACGTCGTCAGATTTCAGAAGCCTCCGGTGTGCTTCTTCGTTCTACCCACAGATCTTGAACTGAAAAGCTGTCGAGACAAAGGATCATAATCATACTTCATTCGGTGATTGGTCAGAAGTTCCTCCATCTCGTGATCGGTTGTGATGCTCTACCCTGATTTTGATTTGGCAGGATTTCTTCATGCCTTTCAGCGGAGAACAGCGGTGGACCTCCGCGTGGGTGACTGACCCACCGCCGTTCGTTTGCCCGGTCCAAACGCCACGGTGGCACTCGCCGTCAAGGCACTCGCATGTAGAAGGCTCCAAGGGCACCAATGAGGCCCCACACCCCCGCCTCACAGGTGGACACGCACACGCAGCGGTCGACACAGACCGAGTGCGAACGCTCCACACGACCGGAAGACCGGAAGATATTGATGCTTTGGTGGAGTGTACAACCAGGTTTGGTTGATCAGATCCCAGAGGCCTCCACGGATTTGGAATGCAGCAAATCCGCGGTCTGGGTAGCTTGAAACCATTTGCTTTCGAAGACTCAGGTGAAGACTGGACCCCCCAGAGATGGTGCAAGACAAAAAGAGGTCAAAGTAAAAAGATCGACACACACCGGTAGAAGAGGTCGAGGACCGAGGACAAAACTTGGACGCAAACCTGAGGACTTCATTTCCCCCAAACTTGAAACCTCGGCTTGGGACTTCTTCAGCACAATCTGAGCACCCTGCAGAGACATCCAGTAAATCCATCCTGGGTCGACGGTGGAACTGCCCTTCAAAAGGCAGAAGTTGTGCGCATTCCAGGCATCCCACGACACACAAATGCATACATATTGTTTTCCCACATAGCCGGTGGACTGCTATCCAACAAAACAGAATTTCAGCATAAACCCTGGTCAAAGGGGATATCTTGACCATCATGTCTTCAAACTATGGAAAGCCTAGCCATACTTGTTTGGAACCAGAACAGACTAGCCAGCATAAGGAAATGTGATCGACCCCCTCTATGACCATAGATACTTGTGCAAGGTGGTGAAACTCTTCATGGTCGAGTCCTCATTTGATGTCTCATGAAGGTTTTTCAATAATGGGAGATTGTGGGACCCGTCAAATTGCATCCCCACACTCACGGGCTCCAAGGTGTCTTTCTCCAGGCTGCTTCCAAAAATCGATAAACATGCTGCCCTCAAAAATGGAGAAAGCACCCAACCCACCGAAAAATATAAAGAAAAGGATACCAACCAAAGATACCTCCGTCGCTCCCGACCCGTCCGGGAAAACAACTCCTTCCGTCTCCGCCCAGCCGCAGCGCACAGCTCCAGTCATTGTAGCCGCCCACGAAGAGGCGACGCACGGACTCGGTCGGAACAGGGGCAAGGGTACCCTCGTTCCTTCGAGCCTGAGGAGGTTGGGACGGATGACTTTGGGGGCGGGGTCTCCCGCAAGGCTCTGATGGTCTATGGTGGATTCCGAAAAAGATCTGCTGGATTCCGAAAAGGCCTCTGATCATGTTCCATCATGCTCACATGCCACATGTTGTTTTGGAAAACGCCGTGGAGCTGATGTTTGAAGAATTTCAAACCAGCATGGACTACACCAGCATGGACGTGGGTGCTATCGTGGGGGCGTTGCCCTTTTCTTCCTATATAATTATAAGAGCAACCAACAGTGAAGTGTTTGGCAAAAAAGAAAAGCAAAAACACTCAACAAAGGATGGAGGGATGTGGAACCAGAGGACTCTGAGCCCTCGACGATCAGGTCGGCGTGTTGCAGCAGAAGAAAACCTTGCAGAGCACAGCCTGGGATTTCGGGATGTCGGCAGATTGAGGCTCAAACGGAATGAAAACACAGACCTGCTATTTACTGGTATTTCATTTCACCACTTGTTGACTGTGGGCACCTTTTCTGGTCATTTCCAACTACCAAGTTGATCGTCAAAAGTGTTAAAAAAGAAGTGACTCCGCCTGTGCGTGGAATGACCATTCTAGACAAGGAGTGGACGATGATCTTACACTCTAAAGAATTGGAAGGTGTCGCATGGTCTCTGTAAATCACCTGATTGAATTTCCTGACGATATAAAACCCACAAAAGGTGTTTGTCAACAAAAATAGAACAATGTTGATACCCCTGTTGTCATGTTCTGGACTTCATGTGTCAGGTGCAGGTGTTATGTTCTTCAATTCCAGCTTGCCTCGCTCGCTCGGCACCGACCCGAGACCGCCCCGTTTCGCCGCGCCCCTCAGACGGCGGCCGAGGCCGCCGAGGAAGACGGCGCTGCGAATCGGAATGCCTCGGGGACGGTGAGGAAGAGAGTGAGGGGCGGGAGCGGAAGAGGAAGATCCGGGAAGAGGATGAGAGGGATGAGAGTTCTGATAGACGGGTTTTTTTACATGATTGGAGCTATTGGGAGTGAAGCCTGGTCTCTTTGACCGACAATAACCCAACATTTTTCAGAGGTGCAGCTCCTTTTTAATAGATAGAATACAACACATCTTGGACATGCTTTCGCTCCCTGATGAATTCTGATGGTCAAGACGGACCATTTGCGTCGCTCGGAAAAAACCACGCCTGGCGCATTTGGGGGAGTTTCAAATCAAATGAACACGTCACATGAAGATTGATGGCCTGGCCCCTGGAAGGACATGATGTGCCCTGACCCAAATTCCATGGTGCGACGTGCGAGGCGAAAAAGCTGCTGGGCGCCCAACGTCATCGGGTCATTGGACCCGCTTCGAACTCCAAAAAGACCGCCCAGAAGGAACAAAACTCGAGCAAATCCAGTTGCCTTGAGGTCATTAGAGGTCTTGCCATGGCCTAAATCCCAAATCCCGTTGTTTCATGAGGTCATTGGGGGTCTGCAGGTCTTGCCCTCCAGGTCTGCAGGCCTAAAAGCCCTGAGTCGTCCTCGGTCATGGCAACAACCACCCCAAAACGCCGTCAAGCCACACATAAAGGCCATAGGATGCAAACCAACCCAGCCTCAGTGACATGTGCGCGAATCAAGAAACCCCTGCTGTTAGGAAATCGATAATTCTAATGATGTGATTAGGGGATGTATCATACACAACTCTATCCCAATGATCCATAATGACCAAAAGCATGAGAAAAACAGGTCTCAAGTGCCTGAACATCCACCTGCCCAATGCTTCCGCAGCCCAAGGGCGACCGCAGCCAGAGGACTCGAACACCCTGGTGTGACCGGACGGTTCGGGCTTTCAGGGCGCTCCGGCCATTGGATTCCAAGAGCTTCGACCTGGAGTTATCCACGCTGGGCAGTGTACTCTGGCAGCTTGGGAATCAAAGGACATGGCCTCCACCCTAGTAGCGATGGCCTACATACCAGCCACTTGGGTTCTTGCCTTCTCTTGTTGAGATAGAAGAAGAGTGGCAGTCCAGGACACGTAAAAATATGTGTTCCTTGTTTTTGGCCCTCGGGCAGGGGTCGGCGAGTTCGCCTGCAGTTTCAACCCGCCTGAGACGATGCATTGGGTTTCATCTCTTCATCTCTTCACACTGACAACTGACCCCCTTTTGAACTGGCATTTTCCTCCCTAAACAAGTGTTCTCCTTCCACACACTTTGACAATCCAATAATGGATCTCAGCCGCTGAACATCCGAGCACCCGACATGGCAGGCACGGCGGCGCGAGCCGCTCCTTGGGGCGGGAGCCGCTTCCTCACCGCCACCTGCATTAAGACTGAGTTCCTCACGACGCTTCATCCCACGTGAAATGCTCAAGTATCAAGTATCCTCTATTTATTTGCACGATTTATGTTCATGCAAGAATATTCATCCGTGCAAGTGATGTTGATAGCCCAAATGCACAAACCTCCAAGCCTGCAAAAAGGATTGATATGTGTTCTGATGTTTTTTTCGAGTTTTTTCTAGTATGTTTCGCGTTTTTTCTAGGTGTGCTTTACAAGCATCAGGAGCAGCAGAAAGGTCAGGGGACGAAGCAGCTAAGCCAGCGGGAGGGAGAGAGCGAGACAGTGACAAAGGGAGGAAGCAGAAATGGTCTCCCACTTAACGACGGAGAAGGAGCAGTGAGGAAAGTGGAGAGAGGCACTATAATAGGGACTTCTTTGCGGTTGTCTTCCGGCTTCGAGTCTCTTAGGAGTTCTTCGGCTTTCCTCCTCAAAATTTTACCCTTGGGTGGCTCATAAACGCATGCACCGTTGGAATGGCACCTTCCGCCTCTAAATTTATACCCTCGGGTTCACAAAAGGTATGCACCGGTGGAATGGCTCGTTCCTTCTCTTAATTGTGCCCTCGCTTGGCTCATAAAACGTGTGCACCGTTGGATTGGCACCTTCCTCCGTTAATTTTGGCTTTAAAGTGGCACAGAAAAGGTTTGCGCTGTTGGACTGACACCTTCCTCCTCTAAACTTGACGGGCAGCGTTGGAAGCTGGCCACTTGCAGCAGCACAGGGTCTCTACTGCAACCAGCGTAGTATTGGAAGCTGGCCGCTTGCAGCAACACGCGCTCGGTAGACCCTGGCCACGGCAAGCAGAGCAGCAAGCTGCGCAGTAAACAAAGCCACGTTTTGCAGCAGCACTTGCAGCGTTTCAAGCTGCCTATTTGCAATTGCAAAAGCAGAAGCAAGAGCAAGTGCAAAAGCACCAGCAAAGGTCGAAGCAGGAGCAAAGGCAAGAGCAGAAGCAAAAAGCAAAAGCAGAAGCAAAGAGCAAAAGCAGAAGCAAAAAGCAAAAGCAGAAAAGACCAGGTGACCACGATTAAAAAAACAACAAAGAATTAATAAATAATCCCAGAGAAATACCGGTTCCTCCCATCCAAGGTGATACATATCACCACCCTTTTAAGGCTCGTCACACCTTCCCATCTTAATTCCAACGTGTGCTGGTTGGGCAAAACAAGGCCAGATTCTGAAGAAATGACTTTCCGAAGTCTCCTTTTGCCACTCTCGGAAGGCAATGATTCGCCATGTTTGTTGCTGTTTTTGGTGGGTCTCCACCCCAGTCTGACAGCCCTCAAGCGAGGCTACAAGCACATAGAATCTTCGCCCTGTTGGCTTGAATGGTTCTCCCGTTTGTCTCGATGCCATGTCAAATCCATCTGTGCCCCTCCCAAGCCGGAAGTTAAAGAGTAACATCTACTAATGGACACCCCTTAACATCCAGTTGGGTGGTTCACAAACACCCCAGTAGGATTTCCTAGTATTGGATCTATTGGTCATGTTATACTACAATAGCTCTAATAGTAGGTCTTCCCTTGTCAAGACCAAACCCACCTCACCTGTGCTTCATTCAGCGCCCCGTGCTGCGACCGGTGGGCGGGCGGATCTCTGAGCCGTGGCGATCCGGATCGCAGCTGAAATCCGAACCATCAAACTACCAACGGGTCACCGGCCAGGGCGACCCGTTGCTTAGTGGTATGAAGGAATGGGAATGAGTTTGTCCTTTTTACCAGAGGTGTCTCCCTGCTACGAGGCACAAACACATTTAGCTACATTATATACATATATATATATGTATATACACACAATATACATAAGTATGTATGTGATTGTATGTGTCTATATACAAATACCTCAAACAAATGGAAGCTCATTCTCGAAATGCTCGTCCCCCATGAACTTGAGATTATATTTTGACACCATTCCCTTGTCTGTTCCTCAAAGGTTTCTTCTGCTTTTGTTGAGACACACAAACACAAAAAAAAACAAAACGACCGTGTTGGAGGAACCCTGAATGTCCCCACTCAATGTGTTTCTCCGCGCCATGGGCCCTTCACATCCAAAAAAAAGAAGGTCTTCTTACAAGGACGTTGCTATTTGGGCGGCCTTGGATCTTCAACTCGCAGTAACTACAGGCGCTTCCTCCCTTCGCGAGCCTGCGGATGCCTTCGCGGGCCATTTTTGTTGGCGGCATTCTCTGTCTTTCACCCACTCGCGCAGGTGCTGGGGATGTCTGCGCCAGATGCCGCCTGATGCCCTCCTTTTTGGGGTCCTACATGGGGAGTCAGAGTGGTGAAATCTAGATGAGTCCCCACGAAAATGTCAAAAAATCTTGCCCAAATGCCCTGGAACATCTCCAGCTACCTCCGACGTTTCTCATTAGTCTGTTGCGCACACGCCGCCACGCTCTTGGACTCTCCTCATCTACAGTGCCAGATGGTTCCCAAGGAAGCCCTTCTGTAGGACCCCAAACTCCAATGGTACATACAATCTGTCTGAAAGGTGTGGAACCCTGTGCCTGTGTTCTTTGACCAGCAAGGCTAACTTAACTAAGGCCTGGAGATGCAAAAGGATTCTGGAGAAGGGGGGTTAATATAGTTCATTAATTGATCAAGAGTTTACATCCAAAAATTCTTCTCTTGAGCACTGTTTCCACGGTCCAAGCGCCTTCGCCGTCCTCATCCTTCTTGGACAAAGTGCCGTGCTCTGAACGAAAAACGCCCGCGCGTGAGGCCAGGAATCGAACTCGCTGTTCGGAAGAGACGTGGCGTGGTAGGCCTTCACCATTGAGAAGAAGTGTTCTCTTCAAGATCTCAAAAGCCTGGTATGTGTTAGTCCAGAGGGATTTCAGTTTGCTAGTAGACACCGGAGTTCGTTGGCTGAACCCGTCAGGGTCTAAATCTGCAGCCATCTGCGACCGATTGAAATCAGGAGTGCCCTCCCATCACGGGAGTTGCACAAGAAATGCATGGGTCAAAGAATCATGCCTGGTCAAAGCCTTGGCCTTGGGTTTTTGTTACGGAAGCAAAAGGCAGCTCGAGGGAAATCCTAGATCACAAGAGGCGTAACTTTGGGGTTGTGTCAAGAATGAACGATCCTTCGGTGACTCGCCCATCAAAAGAAGCTCTTCAAACATTCGGCACCATGTGCTTCGTCGAGCTTGGCCGAGTTTGGTACGGATTCTTAGCAACAGAGTTGCTGTTGGTCTCCGGCGACTCATCCACCAAACGAACCACGTGATCGAAGAGTCACCGTCTGTCGCATCAAACCTGTCGCCATCTCGGGCAGCTTGCTTCTTTGGATACGACCTCTTTGCTCAAAGACATGCAGACCCTTTTCTCTCGAACCAGTCGGCACTGGGCCGACCATTTTCCCTCAAACCCGACCGTCGCATTGACCGAGCCGTCCCTTTGGGAACGGCCAGTGGTAACCCAAGAAACATGTGGAACCCAGTGGAAGCCTCTGCTTCTAAAGATTTCAGTCGTCTTCCTTTCAGGGTCATAGGGCCATAATCTTCCTTCCGCGTGCTTCCGTGATTGTTGGAGGGTTTTTGGACGTAGTTACACTGTGGAAGGGTATCTACATGGAAGGGGTCATGGTCTTCCATCACATGGAAGGGTATCTACACAGTGCCATTCTTTGCCATGCAAGTCTTTGACTCCATGAAGCTTCCCGTCACTTGTGCGGGCCTTGACATTGCTGGACTGGTAACGCCAGCCTAGTGCGTTCCTGGGTTGGCTGGTGCTTTTGCACTCAACCGATGCTGCACTAAAACAGGAAGAGCGATCTGAGTATGGCGGACAGCCATAGATTAGTGAGTGCGTGGGCCTCTTTGTCTGTGGAGGCCCCCATGAATCCTTGAGCTATATACAGATGTGTCTGAACTGTGTATATATATATATACTTGTTGTCTGTTCCTCTTTCTAAGCCAAATTCTCAAACTCAAAACTTGACTCAAAACAACGATCTTCAAAATATGACGTCTGACAAAGCACGCCATGTTTCACAAGCGCAAGCTCCTACAAAACATAGATGGATCACTGAAGGCCAAACAAGATCTGCTATGCAATAATTCGAAAATTAAACGACGAACACCTGGATGCTGAGAACGCTAGACTTCAGAAAGGCGCAAAGTTTCACAAGCTTCGTTTCCAAGTCAATTCAGTGGTGTGCGCAATGGCACCCACCCACCGCACCCTGAAAGATCCTCCATACAACAAACTCTTTAGTCGGGTGCCCTCCTAATCCGTCAAGTTCCTGAACTACATATGAATTTCTCTGAACAAAATATGACAAAGAAAAGGCCCACGCACTCCATCTTGAGACTGTCCATTTGACAGAGTTACAGTAATCTATAGTAATCTACATGTTTCATGCCGTTCCCTCTCGTATTTATATATACCTTTTATTTGGATGATGGTTCTTTTGGGGAAAAAAAATTCTGGTAAGGTACCAAGTTGGATCTAATTTAGAAAGTGACCGGATCCTTCTGGTTTCCATGTAGACACCAAAAAAATATTTATCATCAATCTCTGTCACGAAACCTTAGTCTCCTCATATCACTTCATATCTGCCACGCTCTCGAGCCAACCCATGGCGATTCCCATGAAAAATCGAAACTTCGGCATAGCTGCAGCGTCTGAGTTGACTCGTTCGGGTGTTCGGGGGAGTGACATCACGTCGTGAAGAGAACGGGTCGATGGATTCGTTGACTCGCGAGGCACCAGGCACGTGCCGCTCGATGGATCATTCGCACCAAACTGGAACTTGGGAGAATGATCATTTCGCCTGATGTTTCTTCTCAAAGGGACATCGGATGTGAAGGACCACTTTTCTTGCCTGTCTCCTGTTCGCCAAGTCAGACTAGACATGGGTAACCTCGACACAAACTGTCAGTACTGTATGTTGAACGTGTGACTCGACCTGAAGAGTGGGTCGTCGACCTCGGCATCTCCTGCAGCTCTGCATCACTCTCATCGCATCCGGCACAGTGCCGGCAGCAAGCTTTGTTGCGCCGGGACGCAGGCCTTGGCAGAGGGCAGGAGTCACGAAACCAAAAAGATCCAAGTCATCTGAGTCCACCAACACACTTTTGGTTCAAAAGTACTCAACAAAAGGAAACAGTTTCCAAGTGTTGTTGTATTCTTACACTCCAGTGTATAGCCTAATTACAAATACTGAAGCCTCCAAGACCATGCATCTGATTGACCCTAGCCATCCAGGTGTTGTTTGATCAAGTACAAATCACCTCGACATTCGGGCAGTCCTTGGCATGCTGTGCTGCGTGCGCCGCCTTCTCCGCACACAAGTGGGCAGCAAGTGCCTGCGAAAAAGTAATAATAACAATAACAAAGCAATGTGCCGTTCGCACAAGAAACCTCCGAAAAAGGAAAAGAATGCAGTTGCGAAAGAAAGCACTGGCCCTCCATCATTGAAGCCAGAAACAAAAGGTGCAAAACTCAATCAAAGCTCCCAGCGCAAAAAGAAAACAGCTCCAGCCCCACAGCCAAGAATAAAATGGAATCTCCCACCAATTCAAGCTAATTATACCTAACACACACACACACACTCACACAAAAGAAAAAGACAGTTTGTCTCATAAAGGAAACAAACCAAATGAAAAAGAGAAGGACCACGTTTTTTCACGCTTCCTCTCCGCCTCTTGGGTCTCCGCGGGCAGCGACTCCACGATGGCGTGCCGCTGCTGGGGCGTCAACTGGGGCGTCTCGGACGGTGACACCGGTCTGTTGGTCTCCAAGAGTGGTGGAGACCCGTAGCATCTGGAGACTGGTGGAGACCCGGAGGGCCTAGACCCGTAGGCCGTCATGACTGGTCGGTGGAGACCCGGAAGAGCGCGGGCCGAAAGGTCCGAAAGCGCCGGAGAAGACTCCGAGTCCAGACACAGCAGCAGGTCACCAGTAGCGCCCAGCTGTGCCAGAGTTGGGCACTTGGGAAAGGTCACGTGTCTGATCATCGTGCCTTCTGAGCATCTGTGAGGGTTGCTTTTGACGGGGCCAGCGGCCAGCGGCCAGTCAACTAATACAATGATTCGGTTTCACTTGGGAAACAACTGTGTAGGGCGGGGCAGTACAGGGCCTCAGCATTGCTGTCCCTCTCTACTCCTGGCTGTCAAATGACCCCGAGTTGCTCCATGCTCGACTCCCCTCTATAGTCCCCAAATGAAAGATCGGGTCTCCCTAAGAGGACCACGAAATGTACGAAAGATCGAAATCGCTCGACGAAAACTGGATGGATCAGAATGGATCAGAATGGCGTCTACACCGGTGGATCAAAACTGGATCCTTATGTTCCTTATGGCTCGGTGAAGTGTCCCGTCCGTCTCCTTTCGACTGGTCACCGTCTCTTCTCGGCTCGGCGTCCGTCTCGGCTTCCGTCTCCGCCTCGCGGAGGATCTTCACGACAGCAGCCTGGCGGCAGGTGCGGTTCAAGAGGATGAGGCCAGTGAAAGCTCCTGCGAGCTCCTGGAGCCTCCTGACACTGTCATATCCCATGGAGCTCCTGGGGCACAATGTGAATCAAGGGAAGTCACCCGCCTCCTGTGCCTTTCGAGACTGGCTCATTTGGAGCACTCAAGATCTTGGATCCCACATGATCTCACAGAAACCACCTCTACTGATCCCTTGAGATCTTTCTTCACCTTAGTGACCTTCGTTCCCTTCGTCTTCACCAGGCATCCCCGGGCCCCCGGCCATGTCGGGTGCCGCCAGCACTTGGGCAGTGACGGCCTCCAACATGCGGATGCCCTGAGCGCGGGAGCGGCGGGAGCGGAAGATGCTCCTAGTAGCGATGCCCTTTGCTCCTAGTAGCGTCCTTGCTCCTAGTAGTGATGAAGGAGCTTAGGCCTCCAAAGGGATGACAAAATGGTTCGACCAAATGAACTGGTCGGAACTTGATATTCAAAGGATTCCAAGACAGTTTGAAGAGGATACACTTGTCTATCTTTTTGGAGCAAAGACATCCACAACCCAAAACGACCCGTAGAGTCCGTAGAGTGAACCGTTTGCGTTGATTTTTTGCTGGGAACGAGTTTGTCAGATTGGGAACGAAGAAAAACCACCTGGGATCAGGGAGGAGCTTGTCACAGTTCCACTTCCTGCACTTGGTGGATCAGATTCCTCGGGATTCTCCGAATCCCAATGGCTGTGGGTCATGGCACCCAGAGGCCCCCCAAGTCGTAGGTTGACCTCTCTCAGATCGTCTGATTCTGTTGATTTTCTCTGGTCCACTAAGGTCTCCGCAGCCATTTGACCGCCGTTGGACCAACTTCACCTTTTTGCCCTGTGTGCTGTCCTTCTGTCTTATCGACATCCCACTTCAGGGTCATCCCATAGTGCCAATGGCCTTGAAAAGAAAGTACTCACTCTATCAGCTTTAGAGCTCAGTACAGGTACTGTGACAGGTGGTAATAAACCTTCTATTTACATCTATTTACCTGGTGGGATTCTTCTATCATTTCCACCCAAATGGGTAGAGGAGAGCCTCTCCGGTGACGTGGCGCCTGCATCAGCTCTGCTCGCTTCTGCTCGCTTGCACTGTCCAGCAGCTCCCTGGGCGTTTGGGGCCCAAAATAGGATGCCAGGAATGCTGGGTGAAGACGAGTGATGGCCCAGCATGAGTGAAGATACCCCTGCCAGGTAGCCATGTAAAATGTCCTTTGTTTGGGGGAAAAAGATGCACATGACATAGGGTGACAGTCATCACGGCAGTCTACTATAGCTCTTCATTCTCCTGAGGATCCCGTGCGGGAGGTGTGACAAGAGCTGCCGCAAGCGGCTACCACCCGCCTGCGTGCCCAGCGGGCGGGCAGTCAATGAAACGTGTTCAACCCACTGATGAATGCGGCAGTTATGGTATTCGCGATCCAAATGGACCCTCCTTGCATCGACATGATCCACCGATCTGGTATGAGCTCGTGAAACGAAACATCCACCGATCTGAGCGAACTCACGGCCCCCCGAACTCACCTCTTGCTTCAGGTATTTTAGAAGCTCCTTGCGCGTTTCCTGGCGGTGGACTTGCTGTTTCATGGGGTGAGCGGCAGGAAAACTTGGAAGGTCTCGAAATTGAGCATCACAACAGCCAATAGCTTGAGCTAGGGCTAGGGGAGTAGTACTTTCACGTATCAATCGACTTAGAGTTTGCAAAAAGAGCGGCTATCCAGGGTTGCTCAAGCTTCTGCCGGGGGCAGCGTGTTTTGCTGGTTGGTTCGGATCAAAATGGATTTGGGAGTGCGTGTGTGGCTTTAGAAGCGATGGTGATGTTAAAAATGCTTAACATGCTGGAATGCTTCCTTAACATCGAGAGCATTATTCACGAAGGTAAATACATGTTTGGGGTGCACAGTTATATAGTTTATGTGTTTGGGGTCAACCCGCTCAAAGTAACAAAACCTGGTCCCATGCCACACATCAGTCAACTTTGTCTTGTTCCTATACTCAGCGGTGTAGGTGGCTTCAGTCGCAGAGCAACTCGAATATCCCTCAAGGAGAGAATATGATCTCCCCACCAAATGCAGTGTTTCGTGCTGGCTGCTAGCTGGTGCTGGCTGCAGATCCTTGGTTGATGTTTTGAGCTAGTTGCGCTGATTCAATGCAGCACATCAAAGGCAGCTCGCGTTTGACACAGACGGTGATCTGCATTCTGGTCCGAACGAAGAACCGGGGTCTACATCATCACTTCCAGCATCACCCCAAAAGCCCCAAGATCTCCCAACCCTCACACCCATCACATCCCCTAACGGTGGCTGCCCTGGACGGCATGGTTTTGGAACGAAAGGGCGGTTTCGGCCCACCTCCGGCATGGCGGAAAGGGCAGACCGTCGCTCCTCCGCAGACATGGCCTGGAGCTGGGAACATGTACCACAGGCACCGGTGGGTGTTGAGATGGTGTTGAGTGTGGAACAGGGTCCAAAAACGAAGTTTAGATATGTTTGTATAGTCGATGTTCCCATCTCTACCACAATTGGTCCCTTACAAATCTGACGACATGAACTCTATCAAAAGAACATGCGAAAGGGAGAAAGGGAGAATCCTAGGTTCAGGGTGATCTTTTGAAACCTTGATCAGGGGTTTGGCACCCAAATGAGGGAAATATCCAGACTGGTTTTGGCTTTGTTGCTTTGTTGCTCAAGTGTCGCCATGGACAAACTTCTTCAAAGGACAAAAACTGTCAGATCAGTATGATTGAAGTATTGAAGTAGATCAGTATGACACCCCAACCATTGGCTTTCGTCTCCTCTTCCTTATGCTTTGATCTGTCTTCGGATGCCGGACGACGTGAGTTCCACTTTCGTCAACACGTCACCACGTCACACGTCCGTCGCTGAGACCCAAGCTCTAAGCCGTCTCAGGATCGCCTCCAAGCCGACCGGCCACCGGCCAGGCCGCGCGAAACGAGGCACGAAAAGCGCGACGCGAAGCTCCCTGTTTGGGGAGCACAAGGGAGGAAGAAGGGGATGGAAGGATGTGAAGAGACCAGTCATTTGTGAGAAAGAAAGCAAGAAAGAAAGAACGCTTCAAGAGCGAGCGGGTGACAAATGCTATGCCATGTCGGTTCCTTCTCCAAGAAAGGGCCCCTAACCGACAACGCATTGCAGGCAAACCGTGAGTTCTTGCACAACAACCGTGGTGAGACAGTCACGCTTGGACGTTGGGGCATCCATGGGAAATGGTTCTCAAAACCGAAAAAGCAACATGAGCCGTGAATGAGGTGAAGCTCACCTGCGTGGATAAGAATGATGAAGGATGCAGCGCTTAGCTCTTCACATGGGCAAAATCACTCCACAACTTAGGTCATCGTCATCTGACTGGAAGCAAAGTCAAGAATCATGTCATCCATCCTACATCTCTTTTTGAGCGGCTTGTGTTCAGCACTATTATGTCATGTACCGCCCCTCGCCCGCCCTCGATAAAGGTGAAGGATCTCGTCTGCCCTGGGGGAGTGTTCCGCAGAAAGTCGTGGGACCCGGTTGGAGAGGGGATGAATTTCTGGTCTGGCCAAGTGCGTCCGACGCCAATTCTGTGGGACCCAAATCCACTCCTCCGTCTCTTCGGCTGGAAGTTCAATACGCCTGACTTGAACACAAGGCGTGTGAAAGCTTCTCTCGTAGCATCTCTGCATCTGCAAAAATGTGATAAAAACACGTCTTAGCAAACGGAGTGCAACACGTCTTGTTCTTGGAAGACCACATCCTTCTCACGAGTGGACGAAGAGACGCAAGCGACAGACCAGAAAAAACGGACGAACGCTGTAGAGTGCTGCGTCGCGTCGTGTCCGGTTCCGCCACCTCGTGGGCATCGGCTTGTCCAAAGGCTCTGCGCCAGGCCACCGGAACAGCCAGCCTGGCACGCTCGGCTCGACGGCTTTGGACTGGTCGGGTGGTTTGGAGACCGAGTCTGAGGGAAGTGGTGGACTGCCAGGTGGGGTGTCCAAGGAGTCAAGTCGAAGACAAAGGGTTTCTAAGGACAGACCTGGATGAAATGTTGGTTGAGTAGTCATATGAACTACATGAGGTCAAGGAATGGGCCGCAAAAAATGAACCGGTGCAAACGAATGTGCATGGCAAGAAGCCTTCCACCTTTTCCACTGCCCGAGCAGGTGAAACATCCACTGCACACTCCGAGACCAAATGTCAGAGCGGGTGGGGGTCAGCTGGCGGAATATATTGTAAAACATGCCCAGGCTCAAGGTGCCTATCGAACTGAAACGATTCCTGATGAAGCTACAGTTCAACCCACAGCCATCCCCACATTCCAAAAACGGCCAAATCTTTTGAGTCCTGTACAGCTTTACAAAGATTGATGCGCCAAACACTTGAGGCCAAATCCTCAAAGCTTAGAAGCCCGGCTTTTAGAAGCCCTTCAAAGCGACGAAAGCAGAGAAGCTTCTAAGGAACATGGTCATTAAAACTGGTGTATTCAGGTGCAGATCTCCATAGGATCACTACACTTGCAGCACGGGTGGCTGCATGCTGGGTCCTTGAGTCCCTTGGTCCCTGTACTTAAATATAAAATGATGTCATCGACGCCAAAAAAAAGCCTCTCTCCGTTTGGAGATGGCGGTGTTTGCTACTTGCGAACCTAGGGCTTGGGCTTAGCGAGCACCCGGAACAGGTGCACAAGGAGCACACCATGAGGTTACAAGATGCAAGTGGCGTTGGCAAATGAAAGATCTTCGCACTGAAGCGTCCACGAACAGTCTGCCTGTTCAGAATTGCGTCAAGAAATGATACATGTTACATGTATATTTGGGTTTGGACAATAGAGACCCCAAACCAATGGGTGTTGGTCAATCTTCACATATTCTAAGCTGAATCCCCTGTAAGCCAAGCATTCAACTACTTGCACGAAAAGGATGGAGCTGGCCTGGAGCTCTCTCCGCCCACAAATTGCTTCACTTGTGAATTAACCAACCAAGAAGCTGGTGTATTTCATGCGGCCAAACAACCACAGACCAGTCTTTTTCCTTTTTAAGTACAGTAAAGCAAAGGGATTCATGTCATGTTCCTTCTTATTTGTGACCTTCATGTTCACTGTCTTTGCGTGAACACCTTCCGTGTCGAAGATCTGCTCAAACCGACGCAGTTGAAAAGGCATAATCTGGAACTGAGATTCACACCATGCTGGGCCGAAAGTCGATATGGAGGGCATTGTGTCCTTTTTTGCGGGGCATGGTGGTCTGCCTATGAGCGACTGTGAATCAAAGACACAAGAATGCAAGACCAGAAACATGTCTTGTTTTTCTTTCGTGTATGAAGAATTGTTGAAACCAACAGAAGAAAGAAAGCTTGTAGGGCTAATGCAGCAGTCGCATCTTGACACACACACACACCCACCAGCTGAGCATCTGTCGTTGGTCTTTTGTGATCCCACATTTGACTTGAATACTTGATAAGACCATCCAAGGTCTGGCCAGAGAAACGGTGCGAATCATGCCTCCAAATACCTTCTGAACGGTGCACCACGGTGTGAGACCACTCTCACCGTTCTGATTTCTAGAAGGGGCGCTACTTACCTTGGCTCCGAAGCCGAAGGAAGCTCCTTCCTCAGGATCGTGTCACTTGCGTCACTTGCGTCACTTCGAGTCAAAGTTCAGCTCCTCAGCTTCCGGAGGGGCTCAGTTCCAACTTGCCCTTGCCGCCGTCCGAGGCCGTAAAGGTGCCGGAGATCTGAGCCACGTGCGCCTGAAAGACGCGCGTGGCGCGTGGCGCGTCGCGCGTCAGGCGGCCAGGACGAAACCAAAAGGCACGTTCGATCTGCCGGGGCCACGTGAGTCTGAGGAGAGAAGAGGAAAGAATAAGGTTATAGGCTATTATAGGCTATAGGCCATAGCGGCTATAGGCCAAGCTTCTCAGTTTCTCTCTTTTTTTTACATGCCGTCAGATGAAATCTCGGAAGGATTCGAAGCTCGACCCTTGCCCATCGCGATCTGAGATCTGTGGAATCTGGTCTGAACACTGAACTGAAGAAAAAGACACGTCCACTGCTACAAGGTGTGAGGTTAGGCGGCCAGGACTCGCCGTGGACGACCCCTACTGTTTCGGGTCGACCCGTCAAGTTGGACGATGGGTTTCTTGGTTGTCTTGGAACTGTAGGTTTGTCAAGCACCTACATTAGTGCTGAAAAGGTGCTGCGAGCCTCGAAGGTGTTCTCACTTGGTCTGAAAAGGATGTGTACATTGATATTTACGAAGAACTTCCAATTACAAAGGTACAGCAGAAAATGACAAGAGTCAGTCAAGCGAACTCTTGACACCTTGAAGTCGTGCTGTAACAAAACCCGATGTCTACGCACATCTGCTCCAGCCCCTGCCATCTCCAAGGCTCGGTAACACGGGCCCCATCCCATGCACCCCCTATCCGGAGACTTTCAGGCCTTGTAGAATACATGCCCTGCAAACGGTGGTCAACGGCCAAAGGCCCAAAGCACAATGGGCGAGAACTAGCAAAAGAAAATAGAATGAGGGATCACTGGTATAATCATGTTGTGTATACACTCTGATACACTGACATGGAAGTGGAAAATAGGCTCCGGGAAAACCATTTTGCTGGTGTTCCACGTCCATGTGATGCGTCCGCGCGAGCGTAAAAAGCTGTCCATTGAAAAGTTCTTGAAGCAAGAGCAAATTGGACGCCTATGTCACACTGAGGTGCTCCAGTGAGTGCTGCGTTTGTCTTCTGGTTGGAACTCCGTTGGAACGGCTTACAGCGACTGCTCAAGTCCATGAACTCCAGCCTCGCCTGTGACCTTGACGGAACCCCAGGGATGTGACTCGGTCCATATCACGCGATGATTCTCGGGGTTGAAGGACCTTAGCCGCCAGCCGGTCCAGTCAACCATCCTCCAGTGGATGTTCTTTTTGCACGTAAGGAGATTGATTGAAAACACAAGAGAAGAAAGCAACCAAAGATTAAAACCGAAAGAGCGAAGCAGATCCTCGAAGAGCAATGGAGTAGGCAGATGCAAAGGATGGAGGGAAAGCAAAGTGAAAGAAAGAGGCGAAGGAAGAAAACAATGAAGCAAGTTGGAAATGAACGGAAGCAACGAAACAAAAGGGAAGCCGTATAAGTCAGAGCCTAAAAAACACCGACAAGGAAAGCTCACAAGTAAGCGCCTCAAAGCAAGAGGCCGAAACGAACACGAGGGCAATCGAAGAAACCAAATCGACAGAAAGAGCCGGTCCAGAAGCCGAACAAATTGCATGTGCTTTTCTGAATCGGCTCGCTGAATCGGACTGCGTCTGTTTTGGCCACGCGCTCTCCGGGCGCGGGCCCGGGTGAAACGCCGGGCGACCTCTCAGAAGAGGAGCCTGACGCCAGCCGCAGAGAGCTACACTTGAAACGGTTTAGCAGCAGGCTGGGTGTCCGACGCCCAGCCGATGGATCCCCCTTCAAAAACCCGGAGGCATCTATCTTCGTCCTCCTCCTCATAGCCAATGGGTGGCCTTGGTTCGGGCGCCGAGTTCGCACGGACGTCTTTTTCACAGAGCTTGGGTTCGCCGATTCGCGCAATTCCGGCCCACGCTCCACTTCTGGATCCCTGAGACGCGTCGCGTCAGTAATCGATCGGCCCGAATTTCGCTGAGAGGCGCTGAGCCCGAGACTCGGCGCGCACTTCCATGCTCCAGACGGATTCTCCGTCTGATGCATCACCGGCAGCCCATTCCTGCTTCGGCGCTCAGCACGCGGCGCGATCACCGGCGGTTCTAAGAGGCGGGCAGGTGGAACCACGGTTTCACCCTGGAAGGACTGGGGCGCGCAACGCTCAGACCATCGTATTAGTGATATGCTTGGAACCGATTTTTCTCACGCCTCCTCCTCCACTTCACTCAGCTCGTCGTCGTCCGACTCGCCGTCGACGACCTCAGTTAGCCGAGGTTGAGGAGGCACTCCTAACAAGCAGACGATATCCGACTCTTCGGAATGGTATCTAACTGCGTTGCTTGATTTGCGCGCTTCGCGTGTCCAGCCTTGCAGCGCAAGGTGTTCCCCTACGCGCGGTTGCAATCCAGCGGTCCGAGCAGCACACCGCTCTCACCTCATTTTGCCGATGGGGTCGTCTGTTCTTTACTCCTTCGCTTGTCTTGAGTGATCTTTCACGTTTAAATGTGTCCGTTCTTTTCTCTCCCTCCCTCTCTCTCTCTCTCTCCCCCTCTCTCTCTCTCTCTATCTATCTATCTATCTATCTCTCTCTCCTTTTCTCTATCTCTATCTCTCTCTCTCTCTATCTCTCTCTCTCTCTCTCTGTCCCTCTTTTTTTCTCTCTCTCTCTCTCTCTCTCCCTTCTCTCTCTCTCTCTCTCTCCCTCTCTCTCTCTCTCTCTCTCTGTGTCTCTTTCTCTTTCTCTCTTTGCACGTCTTTTGTCTTGGTTTGGTCGAGGTGCCGCAAGAACAGCACGCGAAGTGGGTGAATGCCTGCTTGACACGCACGGCGTCCATTTCCTCGGCTGGTGCATGCATCGCTCTTCAATTCTCGTTGCTGCCTTAAACCTTGTATACTTTAAGGCGCCAGCAATCCAGGCACCGGGAAGAAAGAGGTTGAATGCAAAGAGTGCTTGATACAAAAGGCTCCAATCGGCAATCGAAATTCTTTATGCTATTTCTTTAACTAACCAACAAATCAGAACCACAATCAAGTGGAACGCATTGCGTTCGATCCAAAGGACTTTGTTCATGTTTTTCTTCTGCTCCTAACTGATATATTTGTTTCTTCTTTTCTTTATTGCGCTTGCTTTTCTTTTCTCTTTTCTTTCTCTTTGTTTTGCAATCTTTTGGTTTACGGTTGGTGCCTTTCTGGTTTGCTCTGTCTTCTTCTGTTCTTTCTCTCTGCTTTCCTTGCGTTCTT